AGCTAAATTATTGAAACTTATCTTAAAATAATATATTTAAGAATATGGCTTATACCTCTCTTTTATTTGTGATTTTAGCTCATGGATAACTTATTTTTATTTATGATTTTAACATATGTGATGTGTTTAATGATGTGGAGTGCTGACCTGACTATCAAATAAATCTAAAATCTTAAGAAAACTAAAGAAGCCCTTACAAAATAAACTCAATGTTGCTTATAAAATCTACACTAGAGTGCAAAGGGTGTAAGATTCAAACAATGTATTGATTTACCTAGGCAATGAGATCTCACAAGTCCTCCAATGTACTTATTGTATTCATTAGAAAATTTGTGAGCTAACATCAGCCCATTACTTAAAAAAGTATATAAAATTTTTTTCAAGCCACTTGAATAGACTTTTCTTCTTGCCTTATTATACAAGGAGATCCTTGATCTACAATTGTGATTAATTAATCCATCTAACAAGATAATGCTTAATCTACTAGTCCTAAAGTAGAGACATATTTACTCTCTTATTAAATAACATAAAAAATGTTTGTGATGCAAAAAAAATTGAAGTGAATATATTAAACTATTAAAAACTCAAATAATCAATATAATAAAAGATTTCACATATTACTCTCTTGCCATATTATTGGTGTATTCAATTTATGCTTCATTTACCTATTTCCATCTCATTATTTATGGAGTTGTCTACTATTCTCAACATCTAAGATGTGAGAGTAGATAAATTCTCCTCATGAACTGAGTAGAGAGGATCAATGGCATATGGATCCATAGTCATATGCCACTTTTTCTTGGATTTTAATCTGATTCATTTCTCTATAATATAAGAACTTTGCATCACTCCTAGATATAGTAATAAGAGATAGACTAACATCTGATGCCTCTGAGGTCTCCTTATTTGAACATATAATATCCAAGAATTGATTAGCATCCCATATGTCCTCCTCCTCTACCTCAACTCCATTTCCTTTTTATTCTCAACCCCAATTTCAATTGAATGAATTCTTGAGTCAAGATCAAGTACCTTATCACTATCTTTCTTCTCCTCCTCCTCCTCCCTTTGAATAAAATTTTGAACAAGATTGATCAGGGTGTCCAATTTTTGCTCGAATCTCATATAATTATTTTCTAATCTGAGCTATTTTATCTTTAGCTCCTGTATAATAAGAAAACTTCTCTTAATCCTATGAAAGAAATATATATATGCCTTACAATTTATTAATTTTTAGTTCCCTCTCCCACTTTTCCTCAAAATAGGAGGCTGTGAATTTCTCTTCATGGTTCTAATTGAGACAAGTTGAGAAGGGTTATTTATAACAGACTTATAAAAGTGCTCATCAGCTCTATGCAATAGCTTAAGGTATAATTAAAAATTGATTGTGAGTTAATTTACATTGATGAGCTATCATATAAATTAATAATTAAAATAAAATGATTTACATAATATTTATATCTTCATCCATAAAGATCAACCAAAATTATTTTCCCATAAGCACCTTAATACCTTTTCAACTCAATATTCTTGATGCTATCTCTCCAAGAAGCTCAACACATTTTTTCCCAAGCTTCGAAATGGATTCATAAGCTTGATACTATAATCATATGACATATCCAATTATAGTGTACCAGGATCAAGCATTTTTCTTGAGGGCAGTGGCCTCATAGTGTACTATACCCTTCTTTAGCCTTTTCAGTGTCATTTCTCATGATAGCCAAAACTATGGGTATAAAAAAAAAAGGTTTTTCATCTTCAACAAAGCCAAGCTTCTAGCTAAAAAAATACTATGCATATTATGATTGAGGAGGATAACATCTGCATGATAACATAATCCTAGTTTCCACACATTATTTTTTATCAAAACACTCCATGAATGCTTTCCTAGGTCTATATTATTAAAGCTTATCTTTCCATTCAAGTAGCTATATGTTAACCTATTGATTAAGCTCTTCTCCATATGGGAATTCTCCAAACAATAAATTAGTCATCAAAGAAAATTTAACATCTCCAAATAATGTATTCTTACATCTAATAAAGAACACAATGGAATGTCCCTCATTCTCGTCAAAATTAACTATCATTAATAATAGTTGATGATTTAGGACCCTAAATTAAGAGCTATAATTCAGAAATTTTAAATAATTAAATAAAATAAATCTCAGCCTTAACAATTAATCATTAGTCTCTAACTATCTAATCACTTTCTCTACAAGTTAATTGCCCTCTTAACATTGAATTAATTATGTTTGTACTTTTCCCAAACCATGTTCAAATCTTACTCAAGTCATATTTGAATCCTATTTAAACTCTATTTGATTATTCTTTAAATATTGCCCGAACTTTGTTTGAAACAACTTCGAACCTTAAGCAAACCTTATTCAATCCTTAAAATTTTCAAAATTAATTTAAAACAAAGTTCCATCATATTCACAACATGTAATGTGATGTCTAATATTATTCGAGTTTAGAATTTCAAGTACGAATAACGTATTCAAACTTAAATAATCAAACATATAACATCATTACTCTTGAATAGAAATGATAATTAGGAAGTAGAGGCCATTGCTATGAAACATGACCACAAATCAACCATGTGTGCACAAATATCATTAAAAAATGGAAAAGGTTATAAGGGTAGGGAAGGAACAAGAGTTCTTTATTAAAAAATTTAAGCACAAAATTTTAATCATATTTCTATATATCACAGGATTTTTTATCAAATATGAACTTTCAAATATATTTCTATACAAAAATAATGAAGATGCCTAAATAATTTTGAATATTATAAGACATATAAAATCAAAATTACAAAATAGAAGCAAATATGATAAGAACCAGATATTTGTATTATTATTATTATTATTATTATTATGTTTCATAATATCTTGATACAAATTCGCACACTCTTCTTTCCATTCACAAAGTACAACATGAGGTGAAAGTTTATGTAGGTTGTTAAACATCTAAGAACCAGCCCGAGGCTATCCAAGAGGGGAGGTGAATTAGTTATTTTAATAAAAGTATTTTTATACTTATTCAAACAATAAAATTAGACGATTTCAACAATGGATGTGGAAGCGAATAAATTTACAATAACAAAACAAATCAGAGTTTTCAACCACATGGCAAATCATAGAAAAGTGTGGAAATTAAAATGTGAAAAAGTAAAAGAATTAACACAATAGATTTTATAGTGGTTCGATCAAATATGACCTACGTCCACTCTCCGGAGGCCTCCAATCTAGGTTATTGCACTAAACGTTTTAGTGACTATCCTTTAGCCTCCATAACTAGACGGAGAGGCTCTTACAAAATCTCTTTCACCTACTCGATGAGACAGAGTACTTTAAATCTTTTTCACCCTCCTAGTGAAGGCAGGAATCTGAAATCTTTTTTCTCCCTCCTAGAGATGGCAGAGAATCAAGAATCATTTTACTCTCTCCTAGAGTTGACAGAGAACCAAGAATCATTTTACTCCCTCCTGTAGTTGGCAGAGAACCAAAAATCCTTTTACTCCCTCTTATAGTTGGTAGAGAACCATGATCTAGTGTTGAATAATTTCTCCCCGGAGCCACCCAATAATCAAAGCATAGACCTGAAGAAGATTGGAAGGAACTTTGCTTGGAGTAACCTTGTGAAGCTCTCACAACTCCCCCTTACAAGAACTCTCCCTCTTTTCTCTCCCAAAGATCTCCTCAACTCTCTCTCTCTCTCTCTAAGCTCCCTCTGAAGCAAACTCAACAGCAAAAATAGTGTCTTACAAGACAATGTAAGAGTTTAAATAAAAAGCCTCCAAAGAAGCCCTAAATTTCAATTTGTCGTCAAGGATCGTCTTGTATGATCGTTAGATCGTCCTGTACGATTAGTACACAACAACACTGCCAGAGAGTACGAACTATATTAGTCTATACGATCATTTCAAGAGATTGTACCGATCGTCCCGTACGATCCTACGATTATCGTGTACACTTAGTTCAAGAGCTCGTATTGATCGTCTAGTACGACAAGCGACGATGGACGAGGATTAAACATCGACCCATGCATCTCTCGGTCGTATAGTACAATCGTCATGTACGATGTGATTGAGCAATTAAACCATAATAAATCTCCTAATCATAAGATCAATTTAGGCATGATTGTCATAAATTATCCAGTATGATATATATCGTACTATACAATTAGAGCAAAATTTGAATATTAAAATATTAACTAACTTATGATTGTCAGCTGAATATTGTGATTATATCTTATCGTCTTATACAATTAGGATTGTTCAATACAATTAGTTTAATCAATCTCAATTAACAAAGAGTGTCATAATTAAAATTTTATGGTTAACTTATCATCCAATACGATATAAATTGTACTGTACGATTAGTTTAAAAAAAAATTAACTCACCAACTTACTCCTTTGAGTGTGTGTGCAAAATTACTCAGCTTATTATCCATCATATACATGACGACTCAAGAAAGGTAAAAGAACATTAAAGTTGAAATTACAAACAGACTCAACCCTAATCTACCCAATCTTGAGCTGATTGAAATTGCAAGTGAACGGTGAACTTGATATGATAGTGAGCAAGACAAAACAGATGTACAATAATCAATTGATAGGAGATAGCAATAAGGAAACAATAATGTATGGTATCACCAAAATCACAATACTTGAGTCCATATTTACAATATGATTGATACTCAAAGTGTAATAAAGGCCATCAAATATCCTCTGAATGTCATAAACAACCATAAGTTTAATTTCACATATTTAAATTATAATTATTGTCTTATCGAAACCATTTAAAAGACTACAATAATAAACAATACATTAAACAGAACAACTTCTCCATTTTTATAGTCACAAACACATCGCATACACAACACTCAAATCCAAAACCTCTTGATGGATAGCAAAAACTCCCAACCAATACATTAAAGTGAGCTGCATAACATAACCAAATTATCACACACAAAAATTACAATAAGGAACACTGCAATAACAGAATGGCTTGCCAATATTTATATTCACATGGCACAATGTAGTGACAGTACAAACATAACCAAACTAATAACGATCAATCTGAATTAAGATTTAAGGTCTAAATCTTAAAATTATATACTCACAAAGCACACATATGCTAAAACAAATCATATCCATAACCAAATAATCTTACAGCGCCCTCTTAGCTTTACATTGAAAGCACCAGCCCCAAACACAATCAAACAACATAAAATGACATATATTATATAAAGCCCAGCTAGAGAAATGCCTAAATTGCTCTCTCCTACAGCACTGAACAATCCTACTCTTCTATTCCCTAGCTTCTATATGCAGTCCAAATAATCTGGAGGTGGCTCCATGCTTCATTTACCAGTCATCAACTGGTCATGTACAAAGCTTTTCTCTTATTTTTCATCAGCCGCGACTTAATTTTACATGTATGTGGCTTCGACGTATTTATGTGCACGGTTTTAGAGGAAATAAGTGAGTTGTTTCTTTTTCCTGGAGCCTCCCTCCCCATATAAATCATTCCACTGCCTCAGCTCACTCATTATTGGTCCTTCAGCAGAAAAACTTGGAGCAACCTGCATCACCAACATATTTAGTGAGGCCATATAAAGATGTTTTATTAGCTTCTGGGTCTCATCATGATGGGTATCTACTTTTTATATGATTTGCATATGTTAACCTATAGTTGGATTGGTTAGAAGTTGTTAGCTTTAATATGCCCTTAGACAAGTAGAGAAGAGGATTGCAAATGTAAAACTAGCCCATTGTTTACTACCAAAAATTCCTAGTTGAAAATGTTATCACATATGTAGAGGTTAACCAATGTTGTATATCTTCCTACGAAAATAAATCATGTTATCCTATTTCCTTCATAATTAAGAATCAGTATTGCTAAGAAAACAAAACAAAAAAACTTTTCTACTTCATGTGGTGGATCACTAGAAGAAAGAAAAGTGATCTAGGCTTCGTTTGAGATGGCTTTCTTTCTGCTTCTTAAAACAGCTTTTTAGTATAAAAGTTAAATTTTTTTTACTCAAAAGCTGCTTTAAGAAGCAGTAAGAAAGCTGTCCCAAATGAAATCTAAATCACACTAATTATCATTTTTCACATGCATGCAATTCCAAAATTAGAAAAGGGAAGCAATATGCAGATGATTTAGGTTTCTTAGGGTTACAGCATGGGCATAAGGTGGAGCAACAAAAATGCATTGACCAACAGATTGACCAAAATCACATTGCAAAACAGATCAAACGAGTTTAAAAAGCTTGTTGACAAGGATACTGACTTGATTCTTTGCTTGCCTCATATCTTCCATGTTTAAGGGCCTCAGGACGATTGGTGATGCGCCATGATTTTCCTCTTTTTCGGAAGCCTCTGACGGCGTATCTGTTCCCTCAGCCTGCTGCTTTCTTTCCTGAAAATGATAAGGTAAACTTTGTTTGAGAAACTTTTAAGTTCGCACAGTTCATAAATCCAGTTATACAAGAAAGCCTGCAAGGAAAGCAACACGGATGCCAATCCCAAAAGAAATAGTATGATGACAATCTTACATATGCGAATGAAAAATTTAAACAGAAAGCTTAAACTATAAACTCTATCTATAAATAACAATAAATAATTTGATATTAAACAGTTCATCCTGATTTTAATTAGTTTGTTGTGGGCTCCGAAAATTCGGCCCCGGCCTCCCTGCCTCCCCGCCGGGCTGATTGTTTTTTTTTTATTCGGCGAGGGAGTTTTAACGGATTAAGTTCCGGGGTAAATTTTGAAAGGCATATGGGTTTATAGATAAGACACTACCCAAAGATTTCGCCCTCATTTTGCGAGGACTTTATGATCTGAGTTCTAGTTTCCTATAGGCGCAAGCCCCTATAGTTAATTATCCCTCCCGATCACGAGAGAGAACTTTCGATTAAGACTAGTCATCAATCAAATACGTAGAATATACGTGTTATCTTGCATATAGTAGCAGCATGGATATTTGAAATGATTGGACAATTTGGAAATTTAGAGGATTGGGAGATTTGGAGATTTGATAATTAAAATTGAAGATTGCACCATCTTGCACTTAAAACGGATGATGGGGGAATGGATGATGGACCCGATCAAGATCACATGGTTCCGTCGTCCCGGGCCATCGTGGTCCCTGGTTTACTTACTCAGAGGAGGTAGTCGACCCAACTTGACAGAAAGATCCTTGTCAGCAGCCATGGGTTGCTTCGTCCAAGGGTACCTTGTAGACCTTGGGGGAATATTTGCCTAAGAGGACAAATTTGAATCCACCTTAGCTAACAGAGGGCTTTGTGCCCTATCGATCATATCCTATTGATTCATATCTCAAGGATTTGATGCCACTAAGAAGCGTATTGGCTCTGGCCATAACCAGTATTTCGTTGTGCCATTTGGCGACAAAACCACTCGGTTCAGATGACCCCGAGTCATAACTGTTTATCCTGCGGTGCCATTTGGCAGCAAAATCGCCGGACAGAGGACACATACAACGTCCTTATTGACAGGAGATTGTTTGAGAATAGATCCTATGATATTTTCGACTAGGCATTTGACTCTTTGTGAGCTGAAGTAAATTTTGATTTGTTCACCCCAGCAAACTGTTGCGGATGGTGGATGGATTTTGCTTAAGTGATTGATGGATTTATTTCGAATTTTAAATATCTTGAAATTTGGGATTTGCGAAGTTTGGATTTTGTGTGGACTTATGGGAGGCATTTTGTGAACCCCTCCGATTGAGATTAGCATTCAACACGGTCATCATCGGGGTGTTTGGGGGCATTTTCATCTTCTGGATTGAACCTTGTCGACTCTGTCTACTGATCGACAGAGGATCAGGTTTCATGGGTTTTATGCCTTTATTAGTGAATTCTCTTGATTATAGGCCTTGAAGGCCTGATATGAATGTATTAAAACAAATACACTGATCGTCACAACCGTGTATTTGTTTGAAGGTTCGAATCCTGTCAACTCCTATTAATCTGTATATAAGGATCGGGTTCGAACAAGAATTCACTTATTGGCCTGCGCAGCATCCCTAGATGTCACGTGTGTACCAATAACACACTCGTCGGGGCTCATGCGGGTGTTTGGGTGGCATTTTATAATTATACCCTGTCGACTCCCTTTTACTTGCTTAGGAGGATCAGGTTCAAATTTACTAACCCGCGCAGCATCCCTAGACGTCACGTGTGTACCAATAACACGCTCGCCGGGGCCCATGCGGGTGTTTGAGAATTTCATTGATTTGACATACCCCTTGTGTACCTACATGTATACAAACTACGATGCTCGTGCAAGGGTATTATAAAATAATTGTAATTATGCATATAATTATCATTTGAATGCACACAACTTTTCATTTAAGAGCTTATACACACCTTCTGTCCGCTAGTACGAACATTGCGGATCCAGTGGTGGTGCGTTGTAGATTGTAGACGCCTTCAGTCTACTTGCATAAGTGTTGCAGATCCAGTGGCGTTGTAGTCTTGATGTTATGAGGCATCTCCTCATCTTCATGTTGACTCCCCTTTTCTCATTCACCGGGGATGGGACTTTCTGGAGTTTGGAGTTTGTTGCTTTAAAGAGAACTCCTTTTAAGATCATCAGTGTAGCAGACTTGATATTTCTGATATTTGTGGATGCCAGAGTTGTTTTCCTTCCTGAGTACAGGATCGAGAAGGAATTTCGAAACACCAGGAAGTTTAGTTGGAATTTGCTCAAACATCTCTTCCATTCTCCCAGGAGGTGTCTTTCTTCGTACATCGAGTTGCCCTTGTACCCGACGTACTTGAAGATCTCAGTCACCGTTGTCGTAGGTGACATATGTACTTGTGTCCACAGGGATTCGTTGTGCTTTACGAGATACCCAATATTGTTATCCACAAGTGACTCGTGTGTTTACTTGCTGGAGACTGTTGTATCCACTACGTCCTCTTGGAAATATTCTTAAGAGAACAGTTGTCCTTGCATTACATCCACCTTTCACCAATCTCAGGTGGTTTGCTAATTGTACTTGTTTGCAGGGACGGATCTTCCACTATCAATTGACAGTGTTGCCTTCTTCAATCGACAGGCGTTTATAGGGATTGTCGTAGGATTTCGTTCATTCATCGTTGACTTCTTCACATACATTAGCCGCCCTCTTGCCACATTCACTTGTGTGCCAATTTCCTTAGGCTTATAGGGGACTGATGTGCTTGCTTTCATGCCAAATCTCTCCACTTGCATAGGGAGTGTCATAATTATTTGTTGATATGCACTTGATCCTGAAGCTTGATTATTGATCATTCAGATGTCTATGTCATTCTACACTTTGTTTATATTCAATATCCAAATTCATGTTTGAATCTAGTTCAAGTTCAATTCGGTATACATATTCAAATTGTAGATTAGGTTTGAGTAGAAGTACAGGTCTCCTGAAGCCTTTGGAGATTCAAGCCTCTTGTGGTCCACATTAAGTTCTTTGTAATTCATTTGCAAGTTCAAGCTTCATTTAGACTTGAACTCACCGAGTTTACAAGTCCCACTTAATGTTATATAGTCTGAGTTCGAGTGCATGTTCAAATGATTGTTCAAAGTCTTCTAGAGTCTTTTGAGTTCAATTGTATATTCAATTAATTTGAATTTGGCCTCGTTTTGATTTCTTTTCATTTGAATTTTGACTTTAAAAATCATTTAGGTTTTCTTCAGGTCCTCTGCTCGTGTTCAATCAAGTTCAAAAGTCCACATGTCATTGTTCATTGGAGTCCATCTTTTGTTCTTTTTGAGTTCAAACATATCCGAGTACAATTATATTTCACCCAAAATTTCGACAACCTCCCGGCGTCTCACCCGTTTAAGGGAAAACTACGGAAAATTGGGCCTTTCCCACCACGCGCAATAAAGGCGTGCATGGTAGGTGCCCTCTTTCGAGGACACCGTGGCCGTGATCTTTCTTCCCACCACGCGCAACAAAGACGTGCATGGGGTCTTCGGTACCTGTTACAAGAAAAGAGCAATTTGCTTTCCCCCCGCTCGGGGGTGCTTATGAAATGTTTCGGCCATGCTAAGAAAAGAGTGCACCAGGCTTACCTGGCCTCATCGTGTGCGTCGCACCGGGTTCCCTCCTACCACGCTCAATAAAGTCGTGCATAGGTGGTTTGCAGGCTCGACGCGCATGTCGAGGCAGGAGGGCGGTGGGTCGCTCGCTTACCTCGTCGTAGGAGTCGCACCGGGTTCCCTCCTATCACGCACAACAAAGGTGTGCATAGGTGGTTTGCCGGCCCGACACACCAGTCGAGGCAAGAGGGCACGAAGATGGAGGCAACATTTTTGTATTCTTTTTAATAATAATAATAATAATTTTTAAAACTGAGAATTTGAGAGGGAAAAGCTTGAATTTTATTATGCAATCCACTCCCTATTTATAGATCTATACAAGGTGTATTGATAAGGAAACAAATAACTCTATAATAATGAGAATACAATTATTCCTAAATCAATAAATCAACTATGGAAGGAATTAATGTAATCCAGGTAGTCTTCCGAAGGATTACTGTTCACAGCCATGAATCTCTTTTTGGATCGTGAGATTGAGAACACTCCCCCTCAAGCTGGCAAATATGGATCCATCATTCCCAGCTTGTCAATCATTCGGAGAAAGGCAGAACTATCTAATCCTTTAGTAAGGATATCTACAAGTTGATCCTTTGATGATACATGGTCAACACTTACTAGACCACTGT